CATGGCTTTTCCAACGGTATTGTAATTTATCACTACTCCAACCCCTTGGAAAAATTTAAAGTCTTGTTCCCCTACTCTCCCCAAAAAACTACCCGACCAATAAATTATTAGTTTAAAAATTAAAGGGGGTTTTTGAGCATTTCCCCGATTTACGGTGCTTAACACGATCCCAAGTTTTGAGCATTTTTGAGGACTTGTTTGGGAAAAGGTTCAAGCGGTTCCAGGCTCGGCATGTATCGCGCAGGCCACGGCGTGGGTAACTCCCACGATTACGGCGCGCGCTAAATTGATTGATTGGGTAAAATAACATTTTTACAAATGATTGTAAAAAATTCTGGTTCTTTACAACGTCCAAAATTTTAAATGCGAATTACTTCCAAGCCTACTTACACCGGTACAATCATCCTGGTAACAAATGCTTTAAATCTGAAAAAAAGCAGACCCAACATAAATCCGCGGAGCAGCATGCACATTATTCAGAAGTAATCGGCATACTAAAACCCCAAAAACCCGAGTCTTTGCCCGCCCCCACTATTTGGCATGTTAGAAGCCCCTTTATCGTGAAGATCCCGTATTGAATAAGTTTGTATGTTACCTTTATATTTGGTTAAAATGAATAAGTGATTTATGGTGGTGCTATTTCTTAACCCTAAGGGCCCCCCCGAACAACATTTTGGGTTAGGGCCCAAATTGAAAAGTTTAAAAATGACAAAAAAAAACCCTTTTTGCAATTTTCTTTTAAAAATGCAAATAAAATAGAAACTATTGATACCACACCTCTCAAGGTTGTAACAAAATCGTTGTTTGGCTCTCCTGTGGGGTTTACATTGCTATTACTATTTTAAATTTTAGTCTATTTCACCTTTTTTGATTTCGTTAATTGTTAAACTACTACCTAAATCTCTCTTAGAACAGCAAATTTTCCAAATTTTTTGATGACTCTGGATTTTTTTGTAGTGCAAATTTCTTTAAAAAATTTTTCCAAATTTTAGTCAAGAAAAAACAAAAAACCCCGTTTTTATTACCATAAATTTTTTTGTATTTAAGTAAATAGCCTTTTAAAAATTCCCGTATCCCCTTTCAAATCATTCGTCTTGGGACCACACTTTGGAAATTTCCTCTGGATGTGAGAGAAGGGAAGTACGTCATGTACAGATCTCGCCGTGAATAGTGTTAACAAGACTTTAAAGCTAGAACAGTTAACTTTTTGACTATGGGGTTTTTCATTTACACCCGTAAAAACTCCTGGTAAAAAAAAAAAACAAATAACCATTAGTATTTAAAACGGGAAACAAAAAAATTTATTTTGGATGAATTTTAAAAAATTACCCCATTGTGAAAATTAACATCCCCTTAACGTTGACGTGTCGGAGGGGTTTTTTCCCTTAGAGCGCGCACACCCCTTGCCCGTGACAAAATTCCCCTTGAGAACATTCAAAATTTTCCCACCCCTTTTCTCATCTACTCCATCTCGTCTACCCCTTTCCCTTCCCGTCCCCTTCTTCAGCTATGGTCCCGACAGTCTAAAAAAAAAGAAAAAAATGAATAAATGTTGTCTCATGTTTTGGGAATTTTAGAAGTTAAATTATGAAAATTTTAATTTTTTAATTTCCCTAAATTGTTTCCCTTAATATATTTTTTGGGTATTATGGACGAGTGCAAAATTCCTTATGTGTCCAGTTTACTGCACTGGAAGTAAGTTTAATTTAAAACAAATGTGGGTTTTTCGTTTTTGGACATTTCAACACACCCAAGGGAAGATTTAACGGTAAATCAAAACAGAAAAGGGATAAAATAAACCAGTGTCATAAAGGGAAGGAAATTTAAAAATACATTTTTCCTATCTAGTACAGGGAAATTATTTTTTTAAAACATTTCTTTCCAAATTTTTTTGAATTTTTTTTGGGGTTTTCAAAAAAAAATTGGCTCATAATGCTTCCCCCCCTTGCCGGGCAGCACTAGCCATCAGTACCACCCGGCAGCCCCTCTCATTTTCCCCCCTTAAAACGCTCAGCCGCCTCCCCTAGTGGCTTCCCTTGGTGAAAAAATTCTTCATCTTAGCCTCACCAAACCCAATGTAGGTGTCGAGTGGGGGTTTTTTGGTATACATCGGGCGAAATTAATCACAAAAAGAATATTCTTTAAACTTCCCCTTTTATCGTGACTCTGTTTACGCCTTGAACCTCCCAAATGGGATGTTTTTTTTTCTATAAAAGTAAAAGAATAGGAAACCTGAGGAAATTTTTTGGTAGGGGATGTGTTTTTCAACTACTAATCAGAACCCAATACTCAAAAACCACCCATTTTTAAAGATTTTTTTTGTTTTTGTATTCAGGGGTTTTTAAAAATTTTTTTGTATTTATTTTCCCTTTTGAAAAAGAACAAAACAAAATTGCTTTGGGCCCCAGCTATTTAATTTTATATAAAAAAAATAAATACAAAATTTAAAAACCCTTTTATCACTTCATTCTTTGACACTTCAGACACACCCCAAGTAGATTTAATGGAAAATCAACACACAAATGTAAAATATTTGATCTTTTAAAATTAAAATTGTCAACAAAATAAAGAATGTTTAATAAATACTAACTAACAGATTTGGCCCCTATCATATCATCCGAAACAGTCATTTACAAAAAAAAAAAATTTTGATTTGTGAAAGGTTTTTTAAAAACTCAGCGCTCAGCCTCGGGCCGAAAAAAAAAAAAAAAATGTTTTTTTAAAACGGGATTTACTCAAATTTTGACACTTTTCCCCCCCCCGACCCTTCAAATTGGTTTTTAAATCTTTTTTTACGTCATTTTTTTTTTCCCCAAATTTTCTCACCCGTACAAGAACAATATCCCAAAAGAAAGTAGGGCCCTTTGGTACTCCCTTTGTGTTTTAAAAAAAAAAATTATTTTAGACATAGCTTTTTTGACTTTTAAACCCCAAAAAAATTGTACATGCACTTAAATTATGTTGTTCATTTTTTACACTCAAAAACTAACCCAACTAAAACTAATAAGTACTGAAAGGATATTTTTTTAAAAACTTTTTATTGATTTTCAAAAAAAAAAACCCAATGCATATTTTGCCCTTTACTTTGTGATGTTTTAACGTCTTTTTGTCATTTCCTATAGAGTTTGAAGATTTATGGCAAAATCCCAGAACAAAGTAAATTTCCTTTCCCCTTTTATGGGAAAAAAGTATCTAATTTTTTTTGTGCTTTAAAATTCACATTTTGATTTACCATTTTTCCATTTTTTTTTGTAATTTATTTATTACTTAGTAAAAACAAAAAATATTTTAAGCTGGACTTGAAACAGTATATTGTAGAAACTTGAAGGCAGTTGCTTGTTCTCGAAGCCTAAATATTACTACTAGCCTGCGTCATATTTCAATGCTTTTATAATAACTAATTTAGGTTTAAAAGCGATTTGAAAAATACATCAATTTAGATTCAGAATCGCTAGTCAATATTCATTCACGTAAAAGATGAAGACAATGTATACTAACAGGCTTCAGGCCCAGTTTGCTCATAATCTTGCGCGCCTTTTTCTCTCCTCGCGACTGCTTAGCTTTTGAAACGATGTCGATACCGGCAATGGGGTTGGCAATGCCACCAGCGCCTGGTGCCCCTGATAAACAAAAGGCAAAACTATAAAAAAATATTAAATTGACTTGAGTTATAGCTAGGTGGTAACTGAGTAGGTTAGCATTTTGAAAGTTGAGAATCTTAGCCAGGTTGGCCTATGGATAGGTGACCATTCTTAACACATTGAGAACCCTCTGTGCCTCAGAGAGCATGTTAAGTCGTTGATGTTGGTTGCCATTGAAACATCTGTGGCAATTGTCACTAGTAGTTGGAGCCCTAAAAGTCCGACAACAGTATCTATAGAACTTCTATATAACCCTTCACTTGATTTGTGGAGATCTGATGGCAGTTGCTCCCCATACAAGATCGATGTTTATTTCACATCTATTTGAATATCACAGTGAGCATGTTAGTTAGTGCAGATTTCAGTGCTGGTCAATCGCAGTGTGGTTGTGAAATAAACTCGCACTTGGGCCTCTGATGAGTTATAGCCAGTATTTTATATAAAATGGAAGTTCAAATGATTATGTAAAATATAAAAGTAGACACAAAACTTCAATTTCTAGATCACACAAAGTGTTGACTCATGTGAGGATGAAACCCATTACACTCAATGCAGTAGGAAGAGATAAACAATTAAACCGTGCAAAATCAAAATACCTAAGAAGAATGGTCTACCACACTCACACATTATCATCTAGTCCTAAACTAAGCAGCTTGTACTATGGGTACTAGACAACTGTAAAGTAATAAATATAATAATGTAATGTAACTGTAAAATATATACCAGCATCCTCCAGTTCAGGGATGGTGTCATCGGAATCACTGTCCGATGAAGCAGTTTCTTCCTTTCGCTTCTCTGTCATGGAGGCGGTGGCCTTGTCCAGCTCAGTAAGTTCCGGCATCTTTGAACCTCCTGAAGAAGTAGCAATTGTGTCAGGTCAGGAAAATTCCTGGTAAACAGAAAACTTTTGATTATTATGGAAAGACTTTTATATGATCAACTTCTATTCTTGACTTATTTTATATTTTAGTTCTTTATAAAATGGTTTGCATTGAGGACTTCAGTTAATATCTTAAGACTAAATCACTAGATAGTAAACATCTATTAAGTCTTAAGTCAAAGAGAGAGGAGTGAGAGAGTAGAACCATTGCTTCTCACGACTGCCTACAATGGAACAAAATTATATATAAAATACTAATTTGTTCAATATCCTAATGTCTACAAATAGTAATTTTAATAATTAATTGTACAATTTTAAACTGTATAGTATAATTGGTATAATAATTACATTAGAAATAAACACTAGCAGCACTTTCCTAAGTTGAATTTTACTAATTCTGCCATTTTATTATTTTATATTCTCAACAAATAGAAAATACACAACTGTGATAAGTATAATTTGACGCAGTTATGATTCAAATGAATCCAAGGCAATGAACTAGAGAGTTTTCTTTGAATCATATTTTATGGATAATTTAAAGATTAAATACTAATGAATAACACGTAATTCAATATTGTGCCTCAGCCTTTTACAGCTAGGAGATCAAAGTATGTACATTTAACTTGACATTAATATTGTTTGGATATCATGTTACCACTTATCCAAATAAGTTATTTTTTTCTATTTGAATATTACTCTTAGAGCAAAATTCATGGTTTTCAATACATATAATGCTACCGGTGTTACAACAGTTAGGAAGATCACAGAGTCAAGGCTCCAAAGCCTTAAACGACTGATCTTCAATGCGCAACTGCAGTTTCATATTTACATACGTATATTAAAAAGCATGTACCATAAATCTATACTCATAACCTTTTGACATTTAGAAGAAATAAAGGATGCACGAAATTATAACAGTAATGATATACACACGAGATGTATGACCATATACGAATATTACACTACATAATCTACACTTGTTTATATTTTAAAGAGTAAATACACTAAATTAATAGCACTGTACATTTATTGACTGCTAAATACTTGTACTATCACTAATATGTTATATTATTATAACACTTGTAGGAACATAATATGGGCGCGAGTTTGGCTAATTCACCGATAGGAAACATTAAAATAATAACTAATTTAAAATTAGCTGTAATTGCAAATCACTAAAATATACAAAATTTCCACTTTAACTCAATGATTTCAACAACTTTTCTAGATTAATTACCTTTAGTTAGGAATATTCGGAATATTACGAATCAACGGGGACTCGCTTTACTTTGACAAGAGCGAAAAGAACAACTCTGTGGAACAACTTGAGTAACAGATTAAAAATATCGTTGACCGCACAGTACTTGAAGAATTTTGACTACAAATTAAATACTATAATTCGCTTTCACACCGTAAAGCTATTGCATCATTTTATTGTAAAATGTACTTTGTGTCATTATTACGAACCAATAAAATTTTAAACAAGAGTACCAGTATAAATACAGTAAGAAATAAAGGATTTCACCATAGAAATAAAGATAATATTTATGACTATGTTCTTTCGTTCCTACTATAATTGCCATGGTGTGATGCTAAGGAAATAAATATAATTATCACATATTTTAGGAGGTACAACGTTGACAGTGAGTCTTATAATGAACCACACCTCTGAACGTATTTCAAGAAACTCTACTATAGGTTCTAATTCAAATATTTTGTCAAAGAGCAGCAGTTCACTTGAAATGTTATTATTTATTTATTTCCTTTAAAAACAACTATTATTACAGGTTTAGCCCAATGCAATAGTGTTATACCATCTACTTATTTATTGTTGCATAGTCCATAGACGTATACTTAGATCTAATATAAAAAAAAACTGAAATTAATACGTTCGGAGATGTGGGTCATTATAGGACTCACTGTCAACATGGTAACTCTGAATGAGAAAAGGCTCTGAATGGGATTTACGTGAGGCTGGTCGAATTAAGAATGAAATTGCCCACCTACTAAAATTCGAACGCTGGCGAGCTTAATTCATGTATATAAGGTGCATTGTAATTTGCGTACACGGTTCAAATAGGTTGTTTGTAATCTTTATTTAGTAGATGAAAATTTAAAAAAATAATAGTTAAAAACATAGGTTCACCAAAGTAGCGAAGATTCTACACACGCACGCAGAATTACAGGAACACACAAAAAGGGGAATATACAATAGTTAATTTTATTTTTAAACTTAATCTCAACAATGATATTTTACAAAACGTACTCAATAAACAGTATTCGTACATCAGTTTTCATAAAAAACAGTAGCTTTTATCTATCCTGATTCCCTGAATACATGTTTTAAATTATTGCACTAGGGAGTATACTGCTAGGGAGCTACAATTTGAAGCTCATTATTTTGTTACATGGTATAGGTATAGCAATAATGGCCCCAAGTACATTATGAATTATTATGGCTTTTATGGACGGTGGTAGTTGAATGCCCAACACGACGAGTTTTTAACTACAAAATGTACGTTTGACGTACTTCATTAGAAGATGTAATTGATCGGTATTTGTTAGGTGGCTCTGCGGCATAGCACGACACATATTTTTCACTATCTGGTCTATTTGGTCTGAAAAACCTATATGAATCCGAATATTTTTTTTTTGTGCGGTATGGCAATATTAAAAAGAGAAGTATTGACAATTTTACCTTAGAGTTGTCAAATACATATATCGATAGAAACCTTTTGGGTTAGATTTCATTAGTATTAGATACTTTTGCAGTTTTTAAGACATATTTACCAAGTAATTAAATTTTTGCATCATTATTTCTGAAGAAACTTTAATAAAATTGTGGTTTACCCAGTATATTTTTTTTCTTTAACATGGCTAATTATTGTCATTATTTACGGATATATCTAACAGTAAACCATGATAGTGTTCAGTAAATTATATGGATTATATTAAAACAACTCTAGGGCATGTTCACACCTCCAAGTGTCTAATGATGGATGGATTTATTGTATTTCCAACTCCTCCAATTTTCTTCTGATTAAGTTTGTTGCGGGTTCCAAGATATTTTAATTTTTGCCAGGGACTTCCCGTGTGTCATAACAGTACACACAGGAGTTACAGTGGTGGGAGTGTGGGAGGGATTAGTCCCATTATAAAAGTGCCCAATGACCTAATATCTCTTTGGACGAGCTTTAAACTCCAAATAAATAAAATATTCTGGTGAGACTTCTCATTTGTCCCATTTACCAAGGTTCGTTCTAAAATATATGCCATTCAGCCATTACGTATGCATTTTTGTGAATATATAGGTATTGGACACAGAGATCCGAGTTTTTTAAGAAGGTGTAGTCGGAAGAAAAAGAAAACCTATTATTTAATAGACCAAATTTCTCCAATATAACTTTGGAATATTATACATATCATCCACTTCACAGGATTAATAATGATGAATCAATCAGAAATATTAAAAAGTTTACGTATAAAGCAGTTTGTGTTTCAACACTTGAAACACGGAACAGCATGAGAGATACAGAATGAGAATTAACTTTTCGTGCTTATTTAGAATTCTAAGAATAAAGTGAAAGCACTAATTACCTATTTGTTCGAAATGTAAATCATGCTCTATGCAAATATGAGTGCTTAAGTAAATATTCAAATTGAATTAAATTTATGCAACGAACGCATACTTTTTACTTTGTCGTTTTACGATGTCGTAAAAACAATCATCGATATCGATAATCTGTTCCTTGCAGCACTACAAAAATGACATTTATTCATTACATTTAGGACTTGTTCAGGTTCAGTCCAGTGTTCATTTCATTGCATTTCGTTGTCAAGTGGTTTTCTTGGTTTCTTGCGCGGTATAAGTTTGTAATTGTTCCGTCTGTTAATAAGTATAAACATTTTTACTGTTTATCAATCACGAAACGTTGATAGTTATTAAATGTTAAATCGATAGTGATTATTGATTTCAAAACATGTCACTGTTTGTGCAGTGATTCGGTGTTATTTTATTCAGACAAGTCCAAAGTGCGTGTTTAAATATTAAGTGTTTTGTGTTGAAAAGTGCTAAAACATGTCTTTGGAAGAAAAGTTCAATGCCGCAGTCAACGTTATCAGGAGTTTGCCGAAAAGCGGTGAGTAATTACGTAGTTTTTTTTTCTTTTGCGACCAGTGCTATTATTGATTTTTTTATTTGCAGTCTCTGCTTTGTAGTGACTCTGTCACATTTGTATGTTTTTTTTTTAATATTTGCTTTGAAAACCACGTATTATTCGTTTTTTTTGTTATAAATTTGTATGCTAAATATTTAAATATGTTGATTTATTGGAATACGTTTCCTCTGGCGAATTTTAAAAATAATTTTCGTAAAATATAAGTTGGAGTACATGTGATTTAGATTACTTAGAGAACTTATTTAAGATTATTTAGAGAACTTAATGTTTTATGTGTTTCTCAGGCAAGTGAAATATAGTAAAAAATATTAATTTAATAGTAAGTAACATTATATCTAATTATTTTACATACCTACCTATATTTGTTACGATGGGCCTGTTGGTCTAGTGGTTTAGTGACCCTGACTGCTAAACCGATTTTCATGGGTTTGATTGCCACACAGAACACATATTGTGTGATGAACACGGTCATTTATTCTTGTCTGGGTGTAATTTATCTATAATATGTATTTACTTAAAATATATATGTGTGTAAGATGTGTGAGATATATTATAATTTGAGATATATATTTATAGTCAATATATCTTGGAATAATAAGTATTGTAAAAGTAAAACCTTTTTTGCTATATTAGAAGCCTGCCTGCTAATTATAAAACATCCAAAGCCAATAATAAAATTATCAGAAAATTCATCTAGTCTATGGATATGAAAAAACTTTGGTTACCCATTTGAATAATGTTGTCAATTTAATTTAATTGTAAAACTAATAAATTATTTTTGTTATTTCTCCTTGCTTATCATAATATTAACAATTAAATAATCATAAGTTAATTTATCTGTTTGAGCATATAATTAGGCTGATTCTAATTAGCCCCAAGTTTGACTTTAAAAATAATACAATGAGTAATTAAAAAAATAATAGTCACATTTTTATAGCAAACAGGTTTGTTTTATAAAATGCACACTGCTGGTTATAAACTGTTACATTTTCAACCTACAAAGTAATGTTTTAGTACTTTTCTAGTCTCCTGAGTTGGAGGCCTTCCTTGACCCGTCTGCACATTTGCCCCCCCCCCTTCTATTAAAAAAAGCTATTCCTAAAAATGAAGATGTTGTGTTTAGGGTCCTCATCAAGTCCATCTATCTGCCTGTCTGTCTTCAGCTTAACTTTGATACTGTTAAGACTAGAATATTATATTTTTCCATAGGTATACAATGTACAATGATATCTATATATCTGTACAAATAAATAAAATAAAAGTGTCTGTTTGTAATATCAAAACAATAGGGTTTTGTCATGCTCACACGGTTATTTGCACGATACCTATGAATAAAAACCAGTTTAAATATTTTTTGTCTATCTGTCCAGGTAATCTCCCAAACGGCTGGCCCTTTTTATAAAGTAGTACACCACTAACGAAGTCACGGGTACCATGTAGTTGATATATATAATGATGCAGACAAAGGAGCAGAATAATGTTAAAAGGGTTTGGGTTCTTTTAATGTAAATTAGGTTTTTTATCCTGTTGTGTGAAATATTAGCAATGTATGTTGTGTCCAACAATGTTTTAAACAGGTTGGTACCTAGTAATAAACTACGAAAGTCTACATTTGACTTCGACACCCACATGGCCTGTTTTCTTTTGGCATTGAACTTGCCAATTAACATGGGTTAAACTTTAACTGCAGAAATATATATATATACTAAGTATGTATTATGTATGTAACACCACAATGTTTGCCTATTACCATGCATCACTGGTTTCTTATGAACAAAGGAGTAATAATATTTTTATTTCATATTTCTTACATCATCATCATCTAAGGCTCAGTATTGAATGGTAAGTAAACAAAGAAATATTAAATTTACAACTGGCATCTTAAAGTGCTTATCTCATAATATGTAACAGTGAAACCTATTTTTACACATAAACACTTTAGTCTATGACTCTTTATTAGTCTATTGCTAATGCAATACATCTATGAAACAAATATTATGATAGATATTTTGATTTAGTAGAAACAATAAGTATACGTTGGTTTCTTATAACTCTTTTCAAAATACCGTTTTGCCTTTGTTTTATCATTAGCGCAGCCTAATAGACATACCAATCATTTACTATGTATATGTAACTCTTGGGCTTGCGCACATACTTAACTTAGCTGGTTTTCTTCACGTTTACACAATACTTCTGTAGTAATATTTTATAGCTGAAAAATTTGTTTTTTGGTTGAACACACTAAGCTCAGGCAATACTGGTTTGAATTGAAAAATTATTTTAGTGTTGGATAGCCTAATTATCGGGGAAAATTATATAAACATCACACTACGATCAGTAGGAGCCGAGCACCAATGAAATATGTTGCAAAAACGGAGATTTTTATTTTTCTGCCCCATTTCCAAATTTACGTAGGCTTAGCTCAGTGTGTGATATTGCTAAAGGGTTTGTCTGGTTTCTGGCCGGCCGTCTGTCTGACGCAAACTGCTGGGGAATGTGATCTGTTTCAGACGGAACAAAAAAGGACGTAAATTAAGGGAAAAAAATGGATGGTGTTAATGGTCACTCACTTGGTTAAAAGCATTGCTGCATAACGTCGGTTTTCTGTGAGGTATTACTCCGGTCGAGCTGATCTAAATGGGCCGAAGCGATGCTCTCGCACGGTTAAGTGTCAAAAAGAACACACACCTTGTTAATGATTTGCGGAAATCCTCCATATTTTCTATTGTTGATGCACAAAGGGGCTTTCAAGCATCGTTTGCATACACATTAAAACAGAAAATCTACTATCAGGTGGGAGAAGTTTTTACATCAGCGCTTTCCTGTTTTAGTTATATAGTTTGATGACGTCACAAGTCGCTACGACACGAATTAAAAGTTACATGTCTTGTCCAAATTACCTTATAATAGACATGGATGTGCTTAATAGTGTGATTCGCTATTACCTATAGCTATTAAATACCTTTGCAGAAAATTATGCATTTAATACATTAAAAAAATCAAAAGACGAACATAGGTTACGTATTCCTGGTGTTATTGTTACCTATCCAGCTATCTAAAAATGCTAATGGTACCAGTTGCTTCAAGTCTACTTATGATTTGAACTCACAACCAATTTTTTCTTTCAAGTCTGGTGCTTTAGCCTTTCGACTACTAAGGTTTAAGGTGAAGATGAGGAAATACATTGTTACGTTTAGGTTCACCCTTGAAACCGACCTAATTATTTTATTTTTGATCATTATCTCTCTCTAGCTTTATGTTGGTTACTATGAGCAACGTTAGAAATATTTTAGCCTTTATATATTTTTTATTCCAAAGAAATCCTTGTAAATGTTTACATAAACAAAATGCGATGAATTACATGATGACCCGCGGCACTATTCAGACTGACGATAATTTTGCAGAAATGTGTCCATTGTGTGTAGGTCGTGGGAATTAACAACAATTGCGTCATGTTTTGCATCTATATGTTAGGATATGACTAGTGCTAAGTGCTGGATCCACAAGATGATAGGAATATATATTATCTTGACTGTCACTCAAGACCTTTGACCCTATTGATATTACGTACATACATACACTCACGTCTTTTATCTCCGAAGCGGTAGACAGAAGCGTACTAAGACCCCACGTTTTGCCGACCATAGTCCCAGTGCTACTCACGTAAGAGAGAGTAGAAAACCTATAACCTATATATTTCTAAATAAACTTTATTACTGGACTGGACACTGGACGAACATGGCCGCCAATTATTAATATTAATTTAAATATAAATGTACGGTATAATTCTATGTATTTTGGGAATGCCGTTTTCTTAACGATGAAAGCACTCGTTTGAGGCCAAAATCGTGCACTGTGGAGGATCAGGCTTTAAGACCTCTAACACAAAGTGAGGATCCTCCGAACAGGCGAGGTGATCCTGCCTGACAGACCGCGCGCTTCAACGGTTGATGTTGAGAAGTTGTATAATATGTCCTGATGTCTTCATAACAGGTGTTCCCGGATCCCTCCTATTTTAGGCGCAGATTGACTTTAATCAGTTTGATTCGAGCCGCAAACCCCTTGTGGGTTGACGGCCCGAGGAGGGGGGGGGGGGGAGGGGGGCGTTTGAATCGCTCACCGAGGGTTCTGTTATATACTATAAATAGTTCAGGTTCACTTTAATCGATTCCCGCAGTTTTTTCGGAGCTTTGCTCAAAATTCAGTTACTAAAACCTAAAATTAGTTATATTATTACCTATATTATAACCAAAAGTATTAGTTATATTCATTGATATACAAAAAACCCAAGATACACAGTCTCGAACTAAAGTAACACTTGAATCTGTCTCCAATCACACATGAGTAGTTATAGTTATGTTATAAACATATTTTTTTGCAAATTCAAACTTACGCACATGATATAAAGCTCTTTTTACAAAGCAGTGTACAAAAAGCAATAAAATTTTACGACCGAAGTCTGCTGGTAGGACAAGGCATGGAATGGAGACTTCATTATGTTTATACTTTTTATTTTTATACTACGTTCACTTAATATTTTAATAATTTATAAAAATATGTTCTCAACTTATAATTATACTTTTATTTCAGTGTATATATATTTTTGAGTGGAACATGTATTTATCAATAAAACAAATGTTAACCATTAAAAATATTTATTTGTATATTTAGTTGAAAAGGTAATATTGTAGAAACTAAGTACCTAGATATTTAGTTTATGATGATTGCGTGTTGGTGGTGAAAGCTTTTTGAATTTTGGTATCATGCATCAAATTTAAGTTGGTGGTGATGAGTGATGCTTCTTATATTTAAAATGACATAAATACATATTTTTATAAGAAATAAAATTAAAGTGTCTGTTCTTAATATCAGAATTACAGTTTTTATGATTACATATATGAATATTTTTACAATATTTATTTAACGATACATTGCCAAAATTACAATTTTCGAGGTGTATC